ACAAAGTAACAGCAATATTGTAAGTTGATCTGCTGGGAGTGCCTTAGCTCTTCCCAGCAATACAAGGAAGGATCCATGACAACTCTGAAGGACTTAGGATGAAAAATGCTACACGTCCGCAGAGAGAGAACTGATGGTGTCTGAATAGAAATTGAAGCAACTCTTTTTTTTTTCACTTTACTTTTCTTGAGTCTTTTTGTCTATGTTTTCTTTCACAGCATGAGTGTTACGGCTTTGTTTATCATGAGAACAAATACATGAAGTATAGGGAATTGCTTGCCTTCTCAGGGACGGGGTGGTGATGGGGAGGGAGAAAGGGAGAGACTTTGAAACTCAAAGTTTTAAAATAAACATTAGCAAATTAAAATCAAAATAATAATAATAAAAAAAGATTAGTTGGCCTTGACCCTCTGGGCATCTCTGAGGAACAGGCAGCCCTCCTGAATATTGGAGGCCATTTCCACTCCCTGCCTCAGCAGCCAGAGTTTCAAGGTGCTGTGGACATCGCCACCCTTGGACTAAACTCCAAGTCAGCTCCAGTAGCAGCCACAATGGGGGCAGGATGGGCAGGATGGAAGGGCTGCTGGGTCTAGAGGGCAGTGGGAGCAACTGCTCCACCCACAGGGGGAGGATGGTTCCTATCCCACAGGGGAGTTCATAAACATGATCCCGAGCAAGAAGAAGGCCTCACCTCTAAGCCAGAGTGAAAGGGGGAAGCAGGGAGTTCTCCAGAATGCTGCAGATGTGGACTCAGCAGTCTGGGGAAGGACTTTGCTGTCTCCTTAGGTAGCTGCATTTGCCCCACCAGGCCAGGGCCAGTCCAGGATAGATTTTAGGGAGGTGAAGGATCTGTAGAACTGGGAGCAGGCACAGTGCCCTCCTCTATGCCAGGCCATAGTGTCTGTTGCTCTGCTTGTCTGGCAACCCTCCTTGCTGTGGTACATCTGCCCGCCCGCCAGAGTCCCCCAGTCACAGGTGTCTCTACTCCATCCCCTAACCCCTCTACCCCAAATGCTCAGAGATCGGCCTGTCCCTTGACTGAATTGAGTCCTTCGGTGCCTGGCCTGTTTGCCCCCCTGCTTCATATTCTTCCCTTCTAAACAACCTCAAAATCTAGTTTCAAAGGTCAGCGCTAGCTTCTCCATGGCAAGGCATGGCATGCCTTTGCACCTCCCTCTGGGACAAAGTCGGGTTGCTTTTCCTAGTGCTGTTAGTCTATCCCTGTGTGTGTGTGGGTGTGTGAGTGTGAGTGTATGTGTGTGGGTGTGGGTGTGGGTGTGTGGGTGTGTGTACCTGTATTTGTTTGGTGGGAGGGAGGTCTGGCCTCAGTCCCGCGCACAGCGTTGACCCTCACAGTCCCCTGGTCCCATATTCCTCTTTTGGCTGGTTTGAATGGGGCTCATTACCCACTTTAAGGCACGTTTTGGCCGGTCTCTTCCTCCCAATGCCAGAGCCCAGCTGCCCTCTAGGAACCCCTCTCAACTGGGGCAGACCCAGGCCAAGAGAGATCTTCCCAGAATGAAAGCCTTGCTGTCCCTAGCCCGAGCTCGCGCCCGCTTTGTCCTCGCACTCCGTCTAGCGCGCGCACAACATTCCTCAGGCGTTACTCCGGTAGGCACCAAAGGACGCGGACGAGGACGCGGACGAGGACGGTGCTGTCGCTAGACGGGAGCCGCGGTCTCAGCAGGTGCTCCAGACAGCCAAGCCCTGGCACAGTGTGGCCGGAAGAAAAGGTGTTAGAGAGGTGGAGGGTCTGGAGCTCCGTGCCTTCCTCTGTGCCAGGGAACAGTGTCTGCACTTCCTCTTCTCTGCCTATCCTCTTTGCCAGGGCTCATCTGCACGCTAAGACTTGCCCCTGGGCGCAGGCGCCTCTGTTCCTTCCCCTAAGCTCTGCCCCCAAAATCCCCAGAAACAGAGGTGTCCATGACTGAGGAGAGTCCCTCAAGGCCAGGCTGTTTGCCCCCTGCTTCATCTCCCTCTCCCACAAACAACTCCCAAATCGAATTGCCCAGGCTAGGGCGCATTTCCGAATGCCAAGGCATGGCATACTTTTCCACCGTCTTCTCGAACAAAGTTTGCTTGTTTTCTCTAGTAGTGTGAGTGCCTCTGTGTGTGCCTGCGTGTGTGTGTGTGTGTGTGTGTGTGTGTGTGTGCCTATTTGTGTTTGGCAGGAGGGAGGGCATGCCACAGTCCAGTGCCCAGCGTTGACCCTCCCATTTCCCTGCTCCCATATACCCGTCTTGTCGGGCCAGAATGGGGCTCATTACCCATTTTATGCCCGGTCTCAACCTCCCAATGCCAGAGTCCAGCTGGCCTCTAGCAAACCTTCTAAAATGGGCAAAGCCCAGGCCAAGGCTGATCCTCCCAGAATCAAAGCCTGGCTGCCCGGAGCCCGAGCTCGCGCACTCCTTACCTTCACAGTCCTTCTGGCGCGCGCCAGCGTTCCCCCGACTGTACTCCGGTAGCCATCAAAAGAGGCGGACGCTGATGCAGACGGGGCGGTTGGGGGACAGACAGTGGTCTCAGCAGGTGCTCTGTCGGGCCACTTGCCAACCGTGTAATGTGGGGCAGCCCCAGGCCAAGGTTGATCCTCCCAGGATGAAGGTCCGGCTGGCCCTAGTCCCAGCTCAATCCCGCTCCTTCCTCGCGGACCCTCTGGCGTGGGCTTCGCTTTTCCCACGAGTTCCCTTTCGTGTTATCCGGGTTCCCGCTAAAGGACCCGGAGGGGGACGTGGACGAGGAAGCGGTGCCAGGGCAGGGAGGAAGCAGTCTCCGCAGCTACGGGGGCTGGTCTGGCCATGCCAGGACCGGGAGGCAGAGGAAGTGTGGGCAATTGGAGTGTCTGGAGCCCTAGGTGAGGACACGGTTCCCTCCTCTGTGGCAGGACACGGTGGCTGCCCCTTCTTTTGTCTGCACAGCCTCTGTGCCAAGGCACATGTGCCTCTGCTCCATCCCCTACCGTCCCCACCTAGTTCTCCAGGTACAGGAGTGTCCATGACTGAATTGAATCTCCCAATGCCAAGGCTGCTTTTCCACCCTATTTCATCTCCCTCCCCCCCCCCAAAAAAAAACCAAAACCAAAAAAACAAAACCAAAAACAAAAACAAAACTCCAGTATGGACTTGTACAGGGCTTGACAATTTAGAAATCCCTGAGGAAACATTCAGGTTGGACTTCCTGAGCAAGCAGATGGGAAGGCCTAGGGCCTGCCTTGGAGGGGGGGACCACTTGTCAACCTTGACTTTTTGTAGCATGAGTATAATATTCCTCAAGAGCTGTGATGGTGAAATGAAGAAAAAGTCTATAGAGGGCCAGGGCTGTTTCTCATGAAGCCTATTGCCCAAGAGTCAGGGTTAGGATCAGCTGGTTAGCTTGGACCAGTACATGTGACCCCTTCCACCAACCAGAACAGGGTTTTGGGTGGTGAGGGAAACCAAAGACTTGGAAGAGAAGGTGGTTCTTTCCCTCAAACTTACAGTCTATGGGGAGAAGAACAAGTCGTGTTTGTGAAGCAACCCAATCACAAGTCCAGTGTTACAAGCTCAGATTCGATAAAGATGCTGTGAGGGAGAGAGTCAGCAAAGAGTTGGGCCTCTGTTTCAGCAGGGAAGCCTAGTGCAGGATCCTTTTGAGAGTAGACTTAGTGGCCAGTCTGAGGCAGGGCTGAGCTCAGGCCATGAGGTTGGTGAGCTTGACCCTGGTAGGCAGCCATCATCAATGTGCCTTGGAGCTGCTTCAGAAGCACCTGAGGAGAGAAGCTGCCAGCCCATCTTCCCTTTTGGAGGAATGAGTCTGGGGAATTTGGTCCCTCCCTTTCAAAGTCGCCCGCATCAGTCCCTTCTCAGGCTCTCCCAGAAAATAGCATCAAGTCACTCAGTCAGTAAGCACTGCTTCTCATTCCTTCTTTGGGGAATTTCTAGAATTACTCAAGTCAAAGGCTTTGAGGATGTCTCGGTGCAGTGAGCGCCTGCGCCTCCGTTACCAGGCACTTGGTGATGGAGGCAACAGCAGCAGCAGCAGAAGCAGCAGCAGCAGTGGAGGGAATTCCCAGGTGGCTGAGCAGCACACCAACTGGAGGGAGGGTCCCTTCAGGTAAGAGGAGCCAGAGGAGACTCAGCTGCCTTCTCCATCACAACTCTCCAGGGCAGCCAAGGGCCTTGGCTGCTACCATGTGCACATTTCTTTCCTGCCCCCATTTTTGATAGACACTTCACTCTACTGCTTGCTTTCCCCCCAAACCAGAGAATTTCCTCTCCCCCTGTGGTCCCACCCTTTGGCTGCTGCTGCCTTCTCCTTCTGAGGACAGCAACTGAGGAGGGGCAACTTTGAGCATAGAGAAGGCTGGAAACCCTGAGGCCTGAAGCTGGGCAGGGAACAACCCCTCTCAGCCACAGATCTCTTCTCCCTGGCCGAAGGCCCATGCTTCTTAGGGTGAAGCCAGGTGGGTGAAGGGCCTGTGGGTGAGGAGATATTTTCAGCTGATTCTTGGCTCCCCTGATACCTCATCCTGGTGGTTTCATGTGGAAAGAGCTCCCCGCCCCTCCCCGGCCCATGGTAGCTATGGCTTGCTTGAATCCTGCCTCACACGTGATAAATTATTCATCCCTTTAAGGAAAAGAACAGCGAAAGAGGGCTTTGGCTATCATTACTTTTCATCCTTGAAGTCTCCAGCAAAGTCTCATTCCCCTGCAGGCCTTGCCCCTTCCATTTCCTTCTCACCTGTCCTCTTTTTCACCCTCTTCTCTTTGCTCTTCATGCTTGCTGTCCCCCAGGACTCTGAGGAGGAAGTCCAGTAGGGTCAAAGGCTTCTCACCAGGCCTCTCACCAGCCCCTCATCTGGCCCTGTACACCTGTAACACCCCTGAATCCTCCTCAGGGTACTTCTCCGAGGATGACTCTGCAGGTAGGCATCACTTCTTCTGCCCTGGAGGCCCATTCCCCAGGCACTGCCCCACTTCCTTCAAAGGGTGCCCCATAGCTGGGGGTGGAGCAAGTATCTCTCAGACAAGAGGAAGAGAGAACTCAGCAGTCTGGCTCCAGTTGGGGGATTGAAGGGTGGAGGGGGGGCTCAGGCCTCAGACATGGTTGTCTCTCCTTCTGGGTGGATGCTCATTTCTTCCCTTCCCTGCAGGGCACTCCGTTATCCACCAGCCTGGCTCTGCATCCACCTCCAATAATGGTGCCTCCCAAGTTGGCATCTTTAACTGGATGGCAATATACATTTCAGGTGGGTTGTACCAGGGGGTGGCCACAGTGCCCAGGGGAGTGGTGCTTCGCTGTACCGAGAAGAGTTTCTTCATGCCTATGCAGGGCCAAGCTGGGCCAGGGTGGAGTAACTTGAGGACTCTATGGGGAGATGGGCTTATTATGGAAGGATCCCCAAGCACAGCTGAAGAGCTCTGGGAGGATGGAAGAGCAGAATAGCCAGAAGCAGCTGCAGAGTTGGCATGCTGGGAGACGACTAGATCTGGGAAAGGATGGGCTGGCAGGGGCACGCCTTTGAATCCCTCTGCTGGAACCTTTACAGGTTGGCTCTTTGCAGCATTCCAGTGATGCCTGGGAAACGCCTGGCACTGCCTGACCACAGCTGCCTCCCTCCAGGATTTCTTTCTGTTAATCAGGTCAGTGAGGCCTCCCTGGGGCCTGTCACAATCTAAGATCCACTGCTCCAAGGGACTCCACAGTCCTCCAGGTCAATTTCCCCTTAGGCTTTGCCCTGTTCCTTTTCAGCTTTTGGAGACTTTTACTCAATGAATCTTATGATAGACTCAGGTCAGGGCCAGGAGTGTGCTGGGACCAGCTGCAACCTGCTCCTGAGAGTCAGCTCCCAATTAGGGCTTCGTTGAGTGTCTCCACTGAAGAAGATGATGGGAGAAATGGGTTGTGGGTGCCTTGCCCTCCTCCAGAGCTGGTTGTTGAACATTTAGCAGCACTCGCCTGCCCCCATTCCTCTTGCTTCTTCAGGGAAGTGGGTTGGCTCTGACTACAAGTGGGACTCTCTTCCTGAGTATCTTTTAGGAGCTCTCCCCTCAGTAGTTCCTGCCTCTGATCACAACTGAGTCTGGTGAGTTCACTTCTGCTAGTCTGAGGGTCCTGAGTTTGCAGGGACACTCCCTCCTTTGGGGTTCCAATCCAGAATTTTCTGCCCAGTCTTCCAGGTTTCCAGGCCATGCTTGCAGTTTCTCTGTGGAGGAGCATGGGCAGTTCTCCAGGCTGCCTCCAGGGCTGAATCCAGGAGCCTCTAGAGCAGGGGTGGGGAACCTGAGGTCCCCAGGCCACATGTGGCCTTCTAGGTGCTTGGGTGCGACTTTTGAACTGAGTCCCAGTTTGACAGAATCAATCCTTTGCTGAAGGGGATTGATTTGGTGAACTCTGCTTACAGTGGAGGACCTAGTGGACCACATGTGTCCTCGAGGCTGGTAGGTAGCCCAGGCCTGCCCTGGATTCTTGGGACCATAGGCTGGGCAATGGTGACCAGCCGGCCTCAGCAGGGGTCCCTCCTGCAGCTCTTCCAAGTCCAAATGGGCAAGCATTGTAAGGACTTAGACAAAAGAAGACTAACTAATTCATGAGCAGCATATTAACGTAGTTTTGAAGGAGCCCTGATACGGAGACACCTTCCACTAGACCTGTCAAAGGGCAGCATGTCCCCTTGCATAACAACATGAGCGCCTTTCAGAAAAGCCAAGTTTTCTCCTTCCACTTTACGCCAAGGGTTGTCCATACAAGCCCAGTTCTCCACTTCTTGGGTACCCAGTGGCAGGGGGTGGAGGTGGGAGGGGGAAGAGTGGGCACACCCTTTTGGTTGTTTCATTTGCCACTTAGGGAGGGTCTGCCAGGAGCCAGGGGTGGTGAAGGGCAAGTGCTAACATCTCTTTCATCCCAATGAAATCCAGGAGCTTTTGCACTTGGAAGAAGTTGCTCCTGTTCGTCTTGGGGATGCTGTTCTTTGTGGCTTCGCTGGCTTATGGTGAGCCTTGTGGAGTGCCCAGGTCGGCCACTCCAGATGGGGGCGAAGGACAGGGGTTTGGGGACAGGGCTGTCAAAATGTGGAAGAGAGATCGTTGAAGGGGAACCTTTAGGGAGCCAAAGGGACAAAAGCCCTGGCAAAAGGGACCCAGGCCACATGTGGGCAAGCTCTCCTGCCTCAAATGTCAGAGTTCCATCCTGTCTCTCCTTCTCTCCATCTAATCCAACAAACCTTTATTGTGTGTCTTCTGTATGCTGGCCTCAGAGCCTCATGCTGCAAGGTCAGGATGGCTGTCCCACCCACCTTGAGCATGTCAGGGGCATGGAGTTAATTTATTTGTGCCCTCCGTGGTCACTGACCCGGCACTTGAGGGTGGGGGATTGGGAGAGGCACTGAATCAGGAAGGAATCTATTATCTGAGCAAGACACACAGTCAATGAAAGGTCTGGGGGCTTTGCCCCTTCTCATTGGTGAGAACACACAGGCCAATAGAGACAGGCATGATCCCAGAAGGGCTGGACCCTTGGTCAGGAGCCATGACATCACTCAGTCCATACTGTGAGATCAAGTCCAGCTCAGGAATGATGATACCACATGCAGATGGTCACCAGTGGCTGTCTGCAGTCAGCCTCTCTACAGAGAGCATTCTGGTCCTCATTCAAAAGGGACAGGGCCTTTTGTTGACCAGACTTGGGACAAGAAGGCAGACCTTGTGGCTTCAGTCTCCATGTCCTCTCCCAGCTGAATCTCATCCCTCATTGTTGCCATCATCCAAAAGTAGGATCCTTCTTAGAGGATCATGAGAGAGGGATCCCTTTCCTGAAGGCTCTTGGGATGGAAGTGGCTCTAGCCATAGCCTTCCAGATCATGGGGCCCCTAGCAATATCTGCCTTCCTTAGGCTGGGCTCCTAGCTCACATTGACGCGACACTGCCATACTCAGGCTGGATGGAGGTCCTCACCCTAGACTTCTTGCCCTTCTGACACCTCAGCCTCTGTCTCAATGAGCCTTTTCTCC